TTGGTCATAGACTGATAGGCAAAGCAGCATATCTTCAAAGGTAATAAAGTAATGTTAACAGGCCCTCAGTGTTATTCTGGCAATAGCTGCTGCCTGAAAGCAGGGAAGTTGCAGTGATGATTCTTTTATTTATTTCAGTCATTTATCTAATTATTTTCGCCATTTGCATAAACAGAAGACAGAATACACAAACAACGAAGGTAAGAAAAGACAATAGTGATAGCGATGGAGTCAAATAATACAAAGTGTTAAGGAATAGATAAGAAAAAACCATTAACTATGTTCACTGCACATATTATGGTTATGGATTCTGTCATGTTTTCAGAAATAATGTATTTGTTTTTTAAGTTTAAATACACTTTATTGTAATATTCAGATCATTTTTGAACAATTTGAATGTTGGCTTTGTTGGTTTTAGTTAAGCAAGATGCATTTTGGTGATGATATTTTTAAGATAAGGTGCTTTAAGGGCACGTCACTGTGCAGCCGCACTAGTGCTCCCCCATGTTATGTAACCACCCTCTCGCCAGCTCTGAGGTGGGGTATGTGCATCACTGTAAGTGCCTGAGCACACTGAGGAAGCCCCCAAAAATAACTCTCATAATAATCCTTTCAAAAACATCATCACCAGGGACTGGCCCACTTGTAGCTCTCTTAATAACTTGTACAGCAGCAGCGTCATGGCCGACGGCCAGCGCTCAAACAGGGCACCCGTCCATCCTCTCCGTCCCTCCGTATATCCATCAGTCTCACTGCTGCCACAACACTAATGATGACGTGGCAAAAACCAATATTTACTGATGCAGACAGTGTGGCTACACATAACAGCAGTTTGCCCATGGCTGTTGCAAAGATGCAATAAAATCATTCTGTCCTAAAGTTCTCTTTTGTATCCAACACAAGCTGACATTGTGTGTTGCTTAGAATAAGGATGGAGTGTGCATTGTGATTAAATAAAGTTATTAGTTTCCTTGATTAAGGTGAATAGCTCTACATGAGTGACTTCGAAAAGCTATGTAGCTCCCTAGCATGATATGCAAACAACAAATCTAGCCTGCTTTAAAAAAAAAAAAATCTGTAAAAAAGAAACTCAGTGTTTGTATTTTTGTAATCCTATTTACATTTACATTATTGATCGTTTTTTGTAGATGTGTCCTATCTGCAATATGAATATGTATTCCTTAACAAAAGAAAAAGAGAAAAAAGTATTTGTTTAACCATTGTGGAGTCAAAAGCTATTGTTGAAAGAAGATCATTTTAATAAATACTGTGTTGGTAGCATTTTTATTTGTGGATGAAATAGTGACATTGGCTCAGGGTCAAATGGGACTGGCCATAGTCTGCATAGCCTTTCTGGGTGACATTAAATGAACAATGAGATGCTGATGAGCAGTCCCTCTCAGTCGGCTGCTGTGTGACCTCTCACAGCTCTTGTCCGTTAAGACATAATGACATAATCCTTGTAAATTTGAAGAGCATGTGTAAGCCTGGGAATTTTTCATGAAAATTAACCCAAACTAGAAGCACAATGGCTTGCATTATCATTAAAAACGTTTGCCTTTTTGTAGTCTTTTGGTTTTGAATTTTGTATAGAAGTGTGCCTTCTTGTAACATCTAATGTTTGGATTTGCAAGTGGATGCTGCATGTTGACGGTATGTGGCAGTCACTTGGCAATGTAGCAAACATCGCCGTGTTTTCCAAGAAAGCTTCAGTTTGAAATGATCTTTCAGGCAGATGAGCAAGAACAAAGGGGTAAAGCAGGGACAGGTAGGCTGTACCCAGCAGGAATGTGAACTTGTTTTATATAGCTTGTGTTTTCCTTGAGGCGAGGGTGGAGATGTGTGAAACACACCTATCAACAGTATCACACCTTAAGTGTGTTTCCAAGCTTCAGTCCGCTTCAACATAGCAACGTGGAGCATTAAATCAAGACAGTGGATTGTCTCATCAGGTGCATCTTTTTCGGTATTTATGCTTTTCTAAATTATTGACGCTGATTTTAAAGTTGTTTTCAGGAGTATTTGTTGTTAAGGAACTTGGATTTTCTTTCACATACATTTTTAACAAAGATCAGAACCTAACTGCATAAAACTTGAAGTAAGAAATGGTTTATGGTTTATGCTCTACGGGTTGGGACTGTATATATACATAGGTTGGGAATTTTTTTTTACTGACGACATTATTTTCATTGTGTTACTCAATTCTAACCTGATTTAAGGGGTTAATGTCAGTTTAAGTATTATATCACTGATTCATGACAGAAATGTAGGACTATAAATACAGGAGAAGGATTGATGAGTAACTGTTCCTGAATACCACCAGTGACGTTTAGCTGTGGATTTGATACCACATGGCATCCCTGTCATGTTCGGTCCGGCTGATGGCTGTAACCTGAGAGCGAAGCTTTTGTGCAACACTCTCGCTCTCCCACATGCAAATCAGCTTATGGAGGAAGCAAATGTTGGATAACGGTGGAGTGCTGATAGATGTAATCTCTACCCTGCCTCCCTGGATGCAGCTGCCTTTGCATTGGCCCAGTGTCCTTGTAAGGAAAGTAACCTTCACAGCCTGACCATGTCCTTTAAAAATCATCTCTGCATAGGTCAGCGTTTCTCAAAGTGTGGGGCGCAGAAATGTGATAGGTGGGTCGAATGAACGGGAGACTATTATTATTATTTTTAATACATTTTTTAGACCCCAGGATCGAACCTGGGTCCTTGCGGGCGGTAGTGGACTGTTACAGCCGGAGACTCGCAACGGCAGTGGACTTTCACAGCGCCGGAGCCGCCGGGTGTTAGCAGATTGCAAACCACGCCCCGTAAAACTCAAAAANCGGCCCACCGGGAAATGTGCACACACACAACTGAAACCAAAATCCTTTACAGACATATGTAAAAAGCTTTCATACACACATGTGAAACACACACACCGTCATTGCCACGGAGGAGCACACAGCCAGCGAGAGAGAGAGAGAGAGAGAGAGAGAGAGAGAGAGAGAGAGAGAGAGAGAGAGAGAGAGAGAGAGAAAAAAAAAAAAAGACAGTTTATAAGGAGAGTGATTAGTAAAATATGCATACATAAAAAGGTAACATAAGATCAGAATAAAAAAGTTTGAATGATTTGTTATTGATTGTGATCATATTCTAAAGATGTTTGGATTATTGAAAGGTATGCAGCTCCCTTTCATATGAGTTGTTGAGAGCTGTACGCCATAAA